AGAGTCTTGTTTGCCCCCGTTCTAGGGGCAGTCTCGTTTAGCATGGACTTATTTGCAGCCCGAGCGTCCTTATAATCAAGGTATGCACGTACACAGGGATGTGCATCCTGATCTTTGGCACTAAGGATTTTTTGCAGCACGGGCGCTCAGAAGCTCAAGCGCCCTCCTGTACAAGCAATCTTCCTCATGCAAAGTTCTGGCGAAGCTCGGGTCGACTAGTGTACTGGCTAGTTCACTGCAGGTTCAACCCAGAACCCAGCTTCAACCCAGGTTCGAACCAGGTTCAACCCAGGTTCAATCCAAGTTGAATCCAGGTTCTTAATATCTACTCAAACTAACTCCGGCAAAAAAGCTGGGTCTCAAAATGTTGACCTTCAAGGTGATGGAAAGTTCATGAGCTTGGAAGCTCGCAATGAAGTTTCGTCTCCAAGAATGTCAACTCAACGCCCTGCAAGAGAAGCAATCACAAAGAGACAAATGCACAGAAGGCCTGGATCCAGTCGACAAGAGTGTCCAGGTGTTCAGCGCGAGAGAATCGCGCAGTGAACATGTTCTTCTGCTCCAAAATGTCAGATTTTCGTGATGGGAAGGTGCTCCGTTCCGCGCTTTCCGTCCACAAGTCCGTGAAGCTCAGACCTCACCTGCCAGCAACAGAGACCGTTGACTTGCAAAACAAATCCTCAGATCTGGAGTCTTGAATTCTGATGCAAATGTCAGGATTGTTCTAACGAGCATGCCTGCTTGCTGATGCTGCAGTTTTTGCGGATTGCCAAACCCAGCGCAACAACGTTTTCCAAGGATGCCTTCTGACCGGACACGCAAGAGCTGTTCACACATCGTAGAATGCGAAGTGAAGTTTCTGGGGATCATTTATGAACTTGCCCGTCTCTTCCCTCGCAAGCTGCTCATTGCAACACGAGTTCCAGATGCTTCCAGCAGGTACAGGTACATTTAGCTCTACAAGCATCATTTGCACTTCTCGAAGTAAGTATTTGCATATCCGGTCCTGCTGCAGCGAGGCTTGCTAACTAGCCGGTCATAGCTTTGTGTTCATGCATCTTGGGCCAACATGATGGAGCAGAATGGGGACAGCGATTTGAGGGTTGCGGAGTTAGCGAGTCTGCTTCTTGGCTGCAGGCAGTAGTGATACTGGGCTGCCGGACGCAAGAACAGTCCGTCTCCATCTCGAGGTCGATCTCTATCTGTATCTCATCTCTGTCATTTTATCGCTCTCTCTCTCTCTCTCTTTCTCTTTCTCTTTTCAGCTCTATCTCCATCTTCATCTCCCGCTTCAGCTCTATCTGTCCCGGTTTCTCTTTATAGCACCTGCATGTGTATCAGTATGAACATCAGTATCTGTATCTCCGGGGTTGTCCTCACTTTATCCCTATGTCCATCCCTCTCTCTGTCTTTTTTCGGTTATCTCTTTTCTTTCCTGCTCTCTCTTTCTCTCTCTCTCTCTCTTTATTGTCAGGCAGCTTACCGCCGCTTGTTCACCAGTGGAAGCAGCATTATTTCTCGGTTACGAACGAGTGTCACACCGAAGATACTATTGGAGCTGCACTCATCTCTAAAAGTAGTTGGAGCGGCAAGAGGCTGTGTACCAGGAAGAGCACAGGAACTCGTTTCGTCTCGCGGACCTTCGCAACTTCATGACTGAGTGATGAGTGTCAGCAACAAACTCAGGCTGGGGATCGAGGTCGCGGTGGCGAGGGAAGCGTTGCGCCGGAGTTCTGGCAACATGTCCTCGGCAGTGGGGATCGCGTGCGACCTCCTGGCCTCGTCTCGCCGAGAGGCAGTGCAAACGGTCTGCAAGCCTTCGGTGTTTCCTGGTTTCCGGACAAAACCAGCTCTGCAAGAAACGCCACGGGAGGGTTAGGTGGGGGTGTCTTCGTCGTTTTGGTTTGCCCTTCAGCCCGAGTGGAGGATGCTGCTTCGACAGTACAAAGGCCAATCGCATCAGCTTGTCGCCATGCGCCTGCGCTGGAGCCGATGAGGCCTGCCGGGTGCGGTGCCGCCTCCTCGTCGTCTTCTGTGCGGACGAGGCCGGACGTTTTTGCATCAGCCGACGATGATGGCAACAAGAGACGCCGCCTCGACACTGCTCACTGCGCCTTCAGCATTCCCAACAACGACGACGATCCTGCAGCCGAGAACCCGCCACTGTTTCGAAAACATGCCCTCCGTGAAGAGCAGCTGCGCTCCTTGGGTTGGATGCTGTCACAGGAGAAGCTGCAAGGCAGCCTGCGTGGGGGGCTTCTTGCGGACCGCATGGGCTTCGGCAAAACCAGCGCTTCGGTGGCAGCCTTTCAGAACGAAGCTGAATTGTGACGATTCGCTGCATCCTTGGAACTTACAAGCCTCTTCTAAGCCCCAAAAATTCAGCACGATGCCCTTACCCCAGTCGCACCAAGACCACGGGAACCAAGGCATTGCCATTGGCCTCACCTCCCTGGAAGTTCGGCCTTGCAGCTTACCAGCTCGCAGTCTTCCCGCCAGTAGCGGCTACATTCCTGCGAGCGGCACCCTCATCATGTGCCCATCGTTGCGTGGGCTGCATCCGCAACACCATTTTTCAGTTGTGTAAAGTGTCTTCTTACATCCCATCTTGCTTTGTCTGCACAGTTGGTGCTCCAGATAAACCCAAAAGGGTGGAGTGCAAGCGTATAGCCCCTGAGGTCTTAAGCCCTAAATCAGCCAACCGTACAGGCAGCATCCCAGAAGACAAATTTCCTCAGCTCCAACACTAAGGCACCTCATCGATCAATGGGAGGAGGAGTTCCGGAAATTGCACCCTTGAAGTCCGTCCTGAACATTGAGCCTTAAATCTAAACTCTGAAGCCCGCGGTCCTACACTCCCTTGAGTCCCACCTCCTCATTCAGGAGGCACAGACCCCGACGTAGCAGGGCTAGAATGTTGCACGCAGACAAGGGTGGGGCTCGCAAGGACAAGGCATGACACCAAAGCACCCTGGTCACAGCCCGTCACCGTAACACCTTGAACTCGAATGTTCGAAGCCTGAGAGGTAGCATCCTAAACCCTTCAAGAGCTGCCGTCAGACCTTCCGACTTAGCCCCAGCATTCCAGAGAGGAGTTCTGGAAGTTCCTTGGGAGTGACGGCGTTCAGCTCTCCAAGGTTGCGAGCCTCGAACACAACCTCGAGGAGGTGCGCTTGGACGAGGGATGACGAGGGTTTGGGGTTCAAGGTTTGGGCTTCCCATTGTGCGAGAGGTTCAAGGTGTCGTGTCCATCGGTTATGTGCCTTTGAAGGGGGCCTCTTTGAGGTTGGTGGTTCCTGCGTTTGTGGGATCCCACTGGCTTTGCAGGAGACTGGGATCATGGAGCTTAGTAGCGCTTTGCGCTTCGCGGTGTAGACTTGGTTTCCAAGGTTCGGGTTTGCCGTGTTTAAGTTCGGTTGACGATGTTTTAGACGATCTCGAACCTCGTTGGGAATAACTGTCGAGTAAAGGCTGATCTACGTCGTTGTAAGTTGGGGGGTGCACTACTTCTAAGCTCGTTGCTGCCGCTCCTATCTGCTCCTGTCCCCTTGTATTACCAGCTAGTGACAACAACCAAGCACCACCGCCACGGCCACCGACGCTACGACCGCTACCACAACGACTGCTACACAGCCTCCTGGTTTTGCTTCTCCGATCATCCTAGGCCCTAGGCCTCAACGTCCCTCCGAGCAACCCGTTTCCTTCGATCCCAAGTCCCGGTCCGGGGTTTGGGGGTTTGAACAAACTGAAAGGGCTTATGGGTTGCCCGGGCTTCAAGGGCTTATAGTACGGCCCTGCATCCATCCACCGAAGGTGATGTTGCGATTGCGTTCCTCGGACATGAAGGCGGAGTCGGGCTACCGGCTCCTCGGTTTCAGCAGAAGTCTTGTTTCAACGATGGCAGACCTAGATTTACACAGGGGCGAAGTGCAGAGATGTAGCATCCGATGCTGGGGCAGGCTTGGCATAGAAGTCGCTGGAGAGGGTGATGAAGGAGTGGCGATAACTCATATGAGTTCTTCCTCGGAGAAGAGTATCAATGCCGCCGCGAGGGAACTCCGTGACGAGGCACGGGTGCCGCGAGTTGGAGATCGTATCAAGAAGATCCGCTGCAGTCACACGGATGATGGATCAAGAATCCGAGCCATGACGATAGGCTCGACACAGGCTTTAAAGGACTTTCTCCATCCACCGCGAAGTCGGCGCAAAGGCAAAGCCGGTGCCAAGGTTCGTGCCGCAAAGCTCACTGCCGAGTCTGTCATCGATATTACTTTCAAGCTGGAGTCCAGGGAAGAGCCGCGCACCACAGTGACTCGTGGCAAGGGCCCACTGAAGGTGCTCATCGTGCGAGAGAGTTCTGAGATGCACCGTCTCCAGCAGCAAGACCTCCTTCAGTTCAATGTTGTACTGGCTTCTACCGGGATCCATTCGGACCAGCGTTATGCCGGCTATGTCACCGAGGCAGCCAGTAGCACAGGTCAGTCTTGTTATGTCATGGCCAAGAAGATCACAGTGCTCCCCGCCTTCGTCAAGGAAAGGAGTAAGACTGCTCGTTCTTTTCAGATGCTTCTACACCGAAGCCCAGCGCTTTTCGAGCTGAATTCCTGGCACCGGGTAGTTTTGGATGAGTTCCACGAAAGCGAGGCTTGGGAATACAGAGTCCGTGAGATGCTTCGGGGCCTTACTGCTAAGCACAAATGGGGTTTGTCTGGAACGCCCCCGATGGACACTGCCCTCGCCGTAGTGCAAATAGCCGCGCTGCTGGGTTTCATCTCCGAGGATGAAACCGAAGGCGAGGATCTGATGTCGGAGGCGAAACGTCGGTCGACCCATATGCACGTGCCGGAGACACAGGCCTGGTTTGACCGAAAAGAGGCAAGCCTTATGACTGCGACCAAAGAGTTTGTGGACAAGTTCATCCGGCAGAATACTTCGGCCCTCGTGGAAAAGATCGGCGTCAAGGCCCGGTGCCTTGTTGCGGCCGGAAGCTCGAAATCCACCACCTCATGTCCCCATCGCTGAAACCGTTTGCAACAACGATAGCCCCGAGCTCTTGCAGGAACACGAGCAGATGGTGGAGCACACTTACGAGGAGCGATTGATTTATCGCCAAGCCTGTCATGACCAGGGCACTTTGGCCACGCGAAGTCGGCGTGAGGGTTTTGCAGAGTCTCATGCCTTGTGAGGGGCTCGGCTTGGACTTGCGAGAGGGTCGCAAGGCTTTCTGAGACTGGACGGATTCCGAGTGTCTTGCTTCGGAATTTGGGTTTTCTCACGCTTGTAAGCATTTGCCTGACGTAGCAGTACGTTGAGGCATCTTCGACCTGGCGGATGGGTACACGCACATCTCCTTGAAGGCGCAGAGAGTAGTTATGCTTGTTCGTATTAGTTGTATTCCAGAAGTGCAGGGCTTAGCACTTCAGGGGCCCGGGCGTTGCGAAGCCCTGAAGTATTCACAAACCCTGTGTAGAAAACCAAAGCCAATCAGACCAAACGATTCTTTGGGGTTCCTTAGCTCATTATTAAGTCCCGAAAATGCCAAAGACGAGTCATTCCCACAGGATGATAACTCAAAGCCCTGAAGAACTGAACCCAGCAGAATCCAGAAGAACACATCTCCTACGAGGCCCCATAACAATGCACAGCCCTAGCTCAGTCAGTGTTCTTGTGAGCTATCCTGTTTGTGGTCAAGACCTGCGGCCTCATGTTATCATGATCGCCTGGCGGATCATAGGACTCAGCAAGCAATGTAGGGGCCTTAATAATTAGAACGGGGTTTTGGGGCATATTATACTTTACTTTTACAATACGGAACCCCCAAAGCATTATAGGTAATCATTACCTATATCAGGTCATACATAGTATGAGAAGAGGCCTGATGGGCTTCTGATGACTTACGGACCATGTCCGATGGTCCTTTCATGTGTTTGTTGTGCTTATCAGCCATAGCCTGGCGTAGTGCCAGTACCATTGCTGGTGCTAATTTCCTCTGCCACGGCTTTGAGTAGCTTGATTTGGATTGCTGTTTCAAGTGTTCTTGCTTCGCGATTTGGATTGATAGTGCGAATACTGATAGCTTTATGTACTACGATGATCACGATAATCGCCTGTGCGAACATCCTGTTACTGTTGCCTGGTCAGGCCCGAAAAGAGCTGCTGAAGCGCTGCGCCCACTTTGACATGGGGAAGGTGGGCTCCACAGCTTCGGTCTCCGGGTTTTGTGGGATTCAAGAGTCCAGGTCCGGTTCTGGCCATAGTTACTTGGAGGATCATGGGACTTAGTAACTAGGGCTATAAAAAGTTATAAATAAGGTAACTATAATGATAGTTAATTATAACCCCAGTTAGGGCACTTATATCTCCCATCATCCTCCAAGTACTCGTAACATGCTGCGAGTTTGCAGTGTATGAACGGTTCATAGCTGCTTAATGCAGGTTAACAAGCGGCCAGAGTCTCGATGGCGTTGTCGCGAGTCTCGATGCTTCATTCAGCGTAGCACGGGGCTTCAGAACATCAAAGGCTCGTGGTGATATTACTATCGTGAGTATTGCGTCGCTATGGAATAAACGGGTGAGTTAAGCCCTCTTGGAACGCTTCAGGTAGACCGTAACGGCTTGCCACCACTGTGAGACTTGTGATGTCGGCCATGACGGTATGATGATGATGGTGAAGATGATGATGATGTCAAGGATGATGATGATGATGATGATGATGATGATGCGGCTGCTGATTATGATTATGATTTTGATCCCATGTTGACCAACCTTGGTCATGAGGAACTGAACCGCCAGTTTTGACCCACTCAGTGCTCGTAGGTTCCGGGATACTGTGAGAAAGCTTCCTCCTGTGCTCCGCTGCTCCACGCAACGGAGGCCGATTCAGCAGACTCGGCAGTGCTGCAGCTGGGCCAGAGCAAGAGGAGTTGGCTCTCGCGGGTGGAGGCGCGAAAGGATTCCGGGTTTGGGGCTTCGCGGATGGACGTCACCGTTTTTAGGGATGGCTTCATCACGAGACAAAGACATCAACAGAAACCGTCGATGGCAGTACAGTCAATCATTTAGCCTGGGCATCGAACTGATGTTTCTTGATCCAGCATCTTTTTGGGGGAGCCTGGAACCTGTTGCTCAGGTGCGACGAGGTGCTGTGAGCCAACCTGTCAGGGGGCTGTAGGCAGCTTCACCCTCGCCGCAGCCGATGTCCGGCTGAACTTCCCGTGCCCGTCCCGGGCATGCAGTTCAGAAATGTTCAGAACTGCAGCGGGCAGGCGCAGCTGTACCTGGAGCTTGCCCGGGCCGGAGCTTTCGGCTGCTGGACGCAGGACGGGCTAGCGGCTAGAAGGTCTCGGGGTTTGACGTGTGGGGTCTGGCTTTTGGATGAAGTTGTTACTTGGGTTGTTGGGGTTCAGGGATTTCAGGGCGTGGAGGAATCATTCTTAGCAGCAAGAGTGCTGCACATTTGTAGCAAATGAGTTGTTCTTCACCTTCTTCTTGTGCCAATGGTAGTCCGCCTGTTGCTGTTGTTGTAGCTATCGCTTGGCTGTTGCTACTGCTGCCGTTACTGTTGCCGCATAGCAATAGCGGCAGCAGGCATGGCAACAGGTTGTTGCCATTCCTGCTACAACCTTGTTTCTGGAGACAGGGGTGGCTGCGACTTGTGAAGCCCAGGAGCTCAAAACAGAGCTGGCAGCACGGCTGCCATCGCTTCATGCGGAGGCTCCCTCTTTGTGGGCTGAGCTAGATACCTAACCCCTTGGGCCGAAAAGCCCAAATTCGAAATGCCATAAAAAAACAAACTTCTACCACGTAGTTACTGTAGTTCGTGATGGACAAGCGTCTTTTCCTTCTTACTCTTTTCTGCTATCAGTAGTAGCAGCAGCAGCACCAACAGCAGAAGGAGCAGGAGCAAGAGCAGGAGCAGGAGCAGGAGCAGGAGCAGGAGCAGGAGCAGGCGTGGGGGCAGGAGTAGGAGTGGGAGTAGGAGCAGGAGTAGAGAATAGGAATCGGAGTAGTAGTAGTAGTA